CCTGGGCATCACCACGCCTCAGTTTCCCTGCTGTTTCCAAACTGGTCGCAACCACTGTGGGCCTATGTCCAGCTCACAGCCACAATCTCCTCAAGGGGGGCTTGGGTGCCTTAAACATCCCACAGCAGGGCCTCTCCTAACCCTGCCAGCTGCCCCCGAAGTTATTTTTGGCCCTTCCACTGTTCAGTTTATTCACCCAAACTGAACAGAATTATCTCCCAAACAAAATTGTCTGGTTAGAAACCAAAGAACCCCAAGAATGTTAGAGGAGAGGATAGAACCAGGAGAGACTGGCCATTCAAGTGTGGGGTGGGGGAGCGGAGGAGGAGGGTGGAGGAGAAAAATTATCTTCAATGCTTAGGAAACGGTGTTTAGAGGGGGGAAAAGTATAACATGAAATTGTACATTCAACATAATTTATCCAGGTAAAGGAAAAAAAGACATAGAAAAAAGACTGGAAGGAAACAGGCCAGATATTAAATAGAAGTTTTTTCTCTGCTTCTCCATTCTTTATGCACTTTACAATTTTCTACAGTGAACATGTAATTATAGAAAAAATAAAGTGAAAAAAATTAAAAAGAAAAGCCTTCACATGACTTTCTCTCTTCTTAAAATAGTCATCTTATTGCCATATGTCTTAGTTCCTCCTTTCTATCAATAAATTTTAAAGAATTGTCTCCACTCTCTGTTTCTGCCACTTCTCTTTCCATTTACTACTTGATCCACTACAATCTGGCTTCCTCCCCCACCTCAGAGGTGACCCTACCCTGGAAGGATCAGCAATGACCTCTTAGTCGCCAAATCCAGTAGCTCCTCATTTTTCCTTACCAGAGCTCTCTGTGGTATCTGACATTGGTGGTGCCATCCCCTCCTTCTGGAAGTCCCCTGCCTGCTCTCCAAGCCTCCTCTCTCCCCTCTGTTCAGGGACCTAACCTTTCCAACCACTTCTCTTTGGTCCCTGCAGGTTCCTCAAAGCTTAATGTTGCCCAGGTTTGGGCCTCTAGCCCCCTCCCTCTCCACACACTCTTTGTGGGTGACCTCATCCACTCTTGGCCTCTGTGGTCACATCTACACGAGAGGTCCCAAATTCCAGCCCTGGCCTCTTGCCTGGGACAAGTCAATCCAATTTCCTTCGGAACACTTTCATTTGGATGTCCCTTAAACACCTCAGATTCAACAAGTCCAAATGGACTCGTCATTTCTACTTTCCCTCAATCCCCAACCAACTCTTCCTGCTTTGTTCCTTCACTGGGTCATCCTTGTCCCTTTCTCTCCCTCACCCCCAACATCTGGTTGGTCACTAATGCCTGTTGGTTCCAATTTGGAACTGTGTCTGGAGCACATCAGCTCACATTATCATAGCAGTCTCGCCCACATACTAGTTTCCTTTTCCCAGTTGTTCCCCTTTCCAGTCCATATTTTATAATTTTCCTGATTATTCATTCATTCAATAAACAAATATTTGCCATGCACCAACCTCTGCTCCAAATACTTTGTGGGGTAAATGATAAAGATTGACACAAAATAGGTAAATAAACAATCTAGGGGATTTCAAATTGTAGGGATTGCTATGAGGGTAAGCAAGGGGATTGAGAGAAAAGAACTAGGGCGTGGAGAGGGGAGTTCTCTCAGACGTGGTCTTTGCCCTGAAATAGTCACCCAAATGAACATGACAGGTGCCCTGATGGAACTGGGTGCAACAATGATAGAGCAAATTGTGGCTGGGGCCCCTACTTTAGGTTGGGAGCCAGGGAAGGCCTGTGAAGAATGAAGGATGAGGATGAGTTCTGAAGATCAGAGGAAGGAGCTGTCCAGCTAAAGGGAAGAGCCAGTGACTGGTCCGGAGCGGGTTCACAAGGCCCTGGGCACACAAAGGAGCCCAGGGTGTCTGGAGCACAATGACGGAGGGGCAGAGAAGAGGAGGGCAGGAAGGAGATCATGCATGGTGGCACTGGTGGGGGGCTCTAAGTTTTACTCTAAGTGGATTGGGAGGCTATGGAAAAGTTTTTAACAGGAAGTCACATCTGATTTTCTCTCTTTAAAAGATTACTCCATCTAGGTGCCTAGGGCAGACAGCATTTGGGGGTGGGGTGATAGGGTTCCTGAGTACTAAGAAATTACTTCAGTGGTCCAGGCAAGTCCTGTGGGCTGAGGCTCGGTGTTAGCAGTGCAGTTGGAGAGGAATTAAACTTCCCTTGGGTCCCCACGCCCTGCAGGACAGCTTCTTATTTCTTGACAACCATCTGGTTCCAGCCTTCCTCTTCAGCCCCATGTCCCATCATTTCTTACTTCTTTGTCTTTGCACATGTTGTCTTTTCGGAATTCTCTTCCCCACCTTTCCCTCTGATGAACTCCTATTCATCCTTGAGACCAGACTCAAATACCCCCTCCCCCGTGAAGTCTTTCAGGAATTCTCCAGGGAGAGTCCTTTGCACTTTTCAGTGCTTTGTTTATATCTCTAGGATAACACCTGTCACACTGTCCTGTCCTGTATGTTTACAATCCTGTCTCTGAAGAAGGTGGACCAAGAGCTTCTGGAAGGCAGTGACAGGTTTTTGGTAAATTTTCAGTGAGTGTTTGGATGCATAATCAAAAGATATAGATGGTCCCACTATGGAACAGTTCACACAGGTCAAGAGTCCAGTCATGACCAGTCCCCATTATATTCAGAATCATCTGCTAATGTGTAAGTCCTTGGTCATAAGAACAGATACTACCATGGGTACTAAGTGTCCTCATTTGATCCTGGAAACAGCCCTGAGAGGTGGCCACAGTGGAAAATCATTCCTATTTTACAGATGAGGAAATCAGGGCTTAAGGGAGGTGTGACTTGGCCAAGATCCCCAAGCTACTAAAGCCAAGCCTAGAATCCACCATGGTTGACCCCCAGAATTCACTTCTATGGTTTACCCCGGGGCTGCCTCATCTGTCCTTGAATTAAGATCTTGTAAAACTTCCCTTCACCTCTTTATGAGGGAGGGGATAGAGCGCAGAGACACGACTCAGAGGAGAAGGCAAGACGGGGAAGCAATTCTCCTTCCCCCTCAAAAAAGTGCTACCATACCACCACCTCATTTGTTCTTAATAAGGACAGCAACCATCTTAGTGGGTGGGCATAACCATGGACTCTGGAGAAAGAAGGGCCTGAGATTAAATCCTGGCTACACCATTTACAGGTTTTGTGACCTTGAGGAATTAGTTCACTTCTCTGGCCCTCCTGGTTTACTTTTTTTTTTTTTTGGAAAGAAAGTGGAAAGAAGCTACTTAGTAGGGTTGCTTTGAGGATTATATAAGACAAAAGCATCTCCTCAAAGCCTGACCATATAGAAAGGTCTTAATACTTGGTAATTTCCATTACTGGCCCCAGGAATTTTCCTAAGTACTTCTTATGTATCACTTCTTTTAATACTCACAACAACCTTATTCCTCAGGCGAAAGTGAGGCTTAGAGCTGTTAGACAACTGCCCCAAAAGAGGTGAAGACTTGAACCCAGAGCCTCACAACCAGGAAAGGCTTGACAAACGTGCTTTGATAGAGCATTTGAGCAGCCTGCTCAAGGACTCGCGACCGGTTACTGACTCTATACTCGGCCAGATCTTTTAATCCAAATTGATACTTGGGTCATAACTTCTGAAGGTCTGATAAGATGTAAGCTTCACAAAACAGGACTGGGGAAGGCAGGAGGGGCAGAGTCCTCCAGTGGAGTCGAGAGACCTGCCTTTGCCCCCGTTTGTGGATGAGGTGCATCTTTAATTTAGGCCTCATCTTCCTCATCCATGAAGTGGGAGAAGGAGAGTTCCTGGAGTCCCTGGCGTCCTTCTCAACACTGACTTTCCAGACCAGAAGACCCCTGCTCAGGGAAAGGCTCACTCAGATCCCTCCGGCCGAGGCTCATCCTCCGAGGGACCGGCAATAGGGACGCGTCCCCTTTAAGGCGCCAGCTCGCCCTCGGCGGCGGCCGGAAGTGTGGAAGCCGGGCCTGGCGGCGGCGGTGGCGGTAGCGGCCGTGGCGGCCTCTGCGCATGCTCCGTCGCCCGCCCGCCCTGGCCGCTCGCCGCCCGCCCGCCCGACGGAGACGGTGAGGAGGGGGAGGGGTGGGCGCGCGAGCGCGGGCGCGGGGTGGGGTGGGGCGGGGGGCGGGCGCGGGGGCCGCGCGGCGGCCGGCGAGGGCGGGCGGGCGCGCAGGGGGCGGGGGGCTGCTGCCTCCGCGGGCGCCTCCCCACGCCCTGTGCGTGCCGCCGCCGCCGCCGGGGAGCGAGCGGACGTCGCGGCGCCGCGGGGGGGTGGGGGGACGCTGCCGCTGGGTCCGCCCGAGCAGCCGGGCCGCCCCCAGCGCGGCCGGCCGCGCCGCTCGGGCTCGGCCCCCGGCCGAGAGCGGCGGGGGCCGGCGAGCCCGGGACTGGGGGGGGCCCTGGCGCCCCCGGACCGGGGGGCCCGGAAGTCCTCGGGCGAGGGGCCAGGAGGGGCCGGAGCGCCTCCGGACCGAGAGGCCCGGACGTCCAGGACCCCGGCGAGGGTCCGGGGACCCTGGGGTATCCCCAGAGGCGGGGTCCGGGGCGCGCCGGGCCCGTCGCTGAGGGGCTGAGGAGAGGCCTGGGTCGCGCTCGCGGGGGAGGGAGGGGGCGAAAGGGGAGGGGGGCCTGGGTGGCTGCCGGGAGGAGCCCCCCGGAGCTTTGGCGCGCGCGTAAGAGCGGAGGGTGGGTTCTGCTGGGGACAGCCGAGGCCAGGCTTCACCTGAGGGGCGCGGTGGAGGCCTCGGCCCTGCAGTCCGGCCAAAGAGGCAGGTGTTTTTCCCCAGGCAGGCGTGGTGGCAGTCCGGGTAGTGGGAGCAGGGGACGCGGAGGGAGAGCTCCCGGGGAAGCCAGGGGCCCCTGCCTTCCCGTCGTGAGGGGCCGGGAGTAGGACACCTCAGAGGCTCCCAAAGTCGGGATGGGGCGGGGGTTGAGTCCCTGCTGGTAGAGAACGGGGTGATCTGGTGTGTCACGGGTGGGGAGGGCCATGTTTTTGAGGGCCCGAGAGGAGATAATTGAGGGCAGGAAGTGTAGAGCACCCTCACTCTCTGAAATTAGGTGTCTCCTGATGGAGGGGCAGAATCCTCCCTCGGGGTCCTGGACACTGACCCTCCAGACTGAGGCTTGTCGAGTCTTGCCCCGGGGTTCAGGGGAAGGCTCGGCTGCCCAAGGAGCAGGAGGAGGCCTGAATTCTTCTCTCAAGATGAGAGAAATCTCAAAGCCACTTCCTGGCAGACCCAGAAGGGGCCTGGAATGGTGTCTGTTTAGGAGAACCAAGAAGTGGGGTTTCCTGCGTAACCTCGAGGATTCGGGAAAGGGACGACCAGATCATTCTGTCCTCACGGAGGGATTCCTTTTGCCCCCCTTGCCTCTGATGATTACCAAAGTGCTGTGGGGGGACTTCTTCATTAAATGTCTGGACTGCTGCCCCCGATTTGTCAGCTTTTCATCGGTTATGCATGTTTAGTATCTACTGACTTGATGACTGTTTCATCAGTCAACGACCACTTACATTTCCCTCAGCAAGCATGTATTGAATAGCTGTCTTATACTTCAGCTGGGTTAGTTTGGGCCCTGTTTTGGTCTTGTACTAAGCACAAGTACCCTAGACTCTAGTGGGATGACCCTTCAAAGAACCCTCTTGTCCCACTGCTTCCCCAAACACCTGCATCGTAGTCTCCGATGTGTGACTTACCCTGAACTTGGTTTGCTCTGGCTGTTCCCTCACAGTGGTCCTGGGTGGCCTTCCTGTTGGCTTCATTACATCTGGTAGCACTCTGAATCACCTACTAAATACACGAGAAGGAATAAAGAAGGAAAAAAATCAAGGAGTTTTGGCCTCAAGTAATAATAAAGTTTTAACTTGGAAGTTTCTTGAGAATAGACTGCGAAACAGTCTACAAAAATTACAGTGTGGAATAAATACATTTTGGGGGTTAGGAAATTTCAAGATATCTGGTATTTCTGTTATTCCTTTTCAGCATCAGCTCTGATGTCCCTGTGATCATGTGACACTTGTGCTTACATCTTGCCATGTTTTAAACATTAGTTTTCAGGACACAAAAAAAATTTAATCCTGAGTAGGTCAGATGTCATTGTTTAGCTTTCCACTTGTTTATGTGAGCAGTCATGTGCTTACTTTTAGGGTGTCTTGGAAAGTAACTGCAAAATAATTTTTGCTTTTCACATAAATATGACATACTGCCTTTACATGTGTTGCCCTAGAATTATAGATAGTGTAGTGTGATGCCACCATGAATTCTCTAAGGCCTCTTCCATGAAATACCCGAAGGATCAGTTCACTCATCTTGCCTTAGGAGTTTTTGTTGCTATAAACAAGAGCTGCTTTTCACTTTACACTCAGCTCAAAGAGATGGCCTTGCAATTAGCCAGTGTAGTCTGTGGAGCTGGTAGCTGGTTACTTGTTAGAAATATGGTATTTAGGGTAATAAGAAATATTCAACCCAAACTTGCTTCTCTAAAGAATGTAAGAATTGCCATGTTGGATCAGACCTGTGTTTCTGACTGACACTGAGAGACATATTGTAGATGATTATAATTATCTTCTCTGATAAACTCAGAAGGTTGGAGAAGCAGCTAGAACATTCAACTTAGGTTCCAAGGTGTGGGAGGGGTAAGGAGTAAAATAAGAGTTCCTATTGAGTAAAGTATTAATCAAGTGCTTAGTCAACCACTTATTCAGAGTGTTGTAGAGAGACCTCAACCTTAGAGTAGAAGGTTGAAACTAGAATCATCCTCCTAATTCTGCTTTTCTAAAACCCATTAATTTACCTAATCTGTTAATTTTTAAAAAATTAAACATCTTTTTGGAGTAATAAATTCCGCCTTTTGGAATAATAAATTCCATAAGTTTGTTACCTGCTAAAGTATTACATCTTTTTAATTAGTTAAATATGTAATAGTAACAGAACAGTGCTCGACCATAAATGAGTGGCCAACAAATGTTAGCTGTGATGATTATTTTAATTCACCCTACACTTTTGTGTTTCACGCTTTGAAGATATCTATTGGTTCAATTATTCTAGGATTGATGGCGTTTGTATGCTTCATCATATCCCTTTTTTTCTTTTTCTAGACTTCAGGGTGCTAGTTGTTTTGGTTCTACTGCTGGCACTGAGCCGAACCAGCCTATCGATTCTTTTTTTTATTTTATTTTTTGTAATGCTTCAGTGCATGGTTGTACATCCTGGTTGTTAGTTTAGTGCTCTCTGTGTGCTGCCACGACAGTATGACAGACGGGTGGTGTGGTTCCACGACTGGGAAATGAACCCAGGCCACAGTGGTAAGAGCGCCAAATCTTAACCATTAGATCACCAGGGCTGGCTCTGTTTTTCTTCTCTAGGTTTAAACCTTTATCCTAAAGAAGTCATATTGTGTACTGCAATATCTTATAATTACTTTTTCCCTGTAGTATGTGACAGTGCCATGCATGTCTTTCCTTTCTGTAGTTCCTTAAGAGCAGATACTGTCTCCTTTCCAAGAAGGGGAGGCTAACTCTGTGCCTCATGTAGAGTAGAGACTCAGTAAATATTTGTTGAACTGGGAATAGTGATGGGCAATAAGTAAGGCAGCTTAGCCTAGCTGCCTAAGCAAATTTATATCCCCTAAATTAGAAGAGTAGAAAATTCTAGAAGTCTTTTAGGGTAAATTGGGTCATTCATCGCACAAAAATTTAATTACATGCCTGCTATGTGTTAGATTTCCTTAGAAAGGTTTAGGTAGGCAGTTTTGGAGATGGAGTCTGATACTTGAAAACTCTTACACTCCTGTGTCCTGGGCAGGGGAGCTGTTGAAAAAGAAAAGCAATCCTTGCTCTCCCAGGATGCAGTCTGGTGGGGAGAGGCTGTTGGTTGTGATGGGGTACTGCAGGCACTGAGGAAGCAAGAACACAAGCTCAAATCTGATCCAGGAAGTCACAGAAGGCCTCCCCGAGGAAGTGATGTTTTAAATAAGTCACAAAAGTTTAGCACTGACTAGCCCAAGAGGAAGGAAAAGAGAATTCCAGGTAGAGGAAACAAGTGTGAAGGCTCCGCTGAAGAAATATGACATGTTTGAGAAATTGGAAAAAATTCAATGACAGGAGCCCACAATGTGAGAGGAAAACTATGAGAAATGAGACTAGCAGGGTGGGCAGGGGACAGATTGGGAGGATTTTGTAAGCCATGTTAAGGTGTTTGCACTTTATTCTAACAGCAAAGAGAATCCACTGAAGAATTTTTAAGTAGGAAAATGACCTGTGGCCTTTAGTAAGATCACTTTGTCTGCTCTGTAAATAATAGATTGGAGAGCAAGACCAGAGATTAGGATACTGATGAGAAGCAGCTGGAAAAATGCAGGTAACAGTGTAGTGGCTCAGAATGTGGTGGCAGCACAGATGGAGAATGGGGGATAGTCAGAAGAAAGATATAGGTGATAGAATGGATAAGATTTGGTGGTTGATTGGATTTAGAAAGAGGAGTCAAAAATAACTCAGTTTCTGGACTGAGAAAATGAGTGGAGGATAGCACCATTTACTGAGGCAGGAAACACAGGAGCAGTTTTGAGAGGGAACATGAGTTCGGTTTAAGGTGACTACAAGATATTTTAAGAGGCTTTTGGATAAGAGGAGGTGTAGAATTCAGGAAAAATTTTGAACGTGAGACTCATAAAGGGCAGAAGTATAAGTCAGATGTGGGAATTTTAACTAGGTCAAATACAAACAAAAATTGATTGAATCAACATATGTCAGTGCCTATGATGAGCAGGGCTATGGGAGACAAAAAGAGTTTTAGATAAGCAGTACCTGTCCTCACAGACAGTACAGTGCGGTTATGAAGATAGATATCTGTTCAGTTAACTACAGTATACTATAGTATAACTATAGTATAGGTTCATCACAGTGATGAACACTAGAGGAGAGCTACAGACCACGTGTCGGGGGACTGCAGAAAAGAAAATGGTTTGGCAGTGTTTTGTGGAGGAGTGGGTTTTGAGTTGGGCCTTGAAAGAAGAAGGAGCTGAGGGAGAAAGGAGTTTGGGGCTTAAGGAATAACAAGGGTACAGAAAGCACATATTACGTATTCAGAATACAGTGGGTGGTCGGTATGTCTGGAGCTTAAGATTCTTGGGGTATGATAGTTGCAGGTAACTGGAAAAGTATTTTGAGGCCAAATGAGGGAGACTTTGAGTGCTATGCTTAAGTATGTGTATCATAGGCAAACAAGTGCTGTGGCAGAGCTGAGATGTGGATTCAGTTGTCTGACTATCAGTCACATATTCAAACCTACATCCGTCGTGTGCCTACTCTGTTCAGCACCGTCTCACATATCTAAGTAAATACAGTGCTCTTACCTATACTCTCTTAAGTGACTCCTTTCTTTTCAACTGTGAAGACTACCAGCTGGAGAATATCCTGGGGCCCTCTGAGTTTTCAATACGATTGGGACAATGCTTTGAGTTACTTTAGAGTCAAGGAGCATGTGTCGTGGATGGTTTCTTCAACAACCCTGCAAGGGAGATGTCAGGTGGATCATCTCTCCTTTCAGTCTCAGGCAAACAGGTATTAAGAAGTTCCTAGAGGTCATACAATTGGATTCAGCATTTATTAAACAACCACATGATGCAAGTCATCTTTCTCTTTCCATACAGCTTAATTCAGTTAGTCAGCAGATACTTATTAAGTACTCACAAAGGACAGAGTGCTCGATGAGGTGTAATGGCTGGTTGCAAAGAAAATAGATGATTCCTACTTTCTAGGAGCTTACTGTTCGGGATAGAACTAGTTTTGTACTGTAAACCAGCTCTCCAGAAAAAAAAAAAATACCCTGATTTGTAGTGCTTGCCAATTTCTGTGGTGTATATACTCCCAGCACCACTGATTTCAAGCTACCAACTTGATGTCGCTAAACTCAGAGTTGGGAATAGATGTGCACAGTTGGTTCTTAGGAGCTGGTAGAGTTGGCTCCAGCACGCTACTGGATGAATCACACATACGAAGAAAACCTACAACAGCAAGTGGGTACGAAGGCATTTCTGGAAAGATCAGAGCCTATGTGAGCCCCTTCTCACAGTTCCCCATCTTTTTCAGAAGACCATGATCTCCAGGGTGCCCTTGGAGTTGGTAGTCATTATCTTGGTGTTCCCTTCCTATGGTTGCCATCTTTTCAAGCCAGACAAAATTACTGGTGCTTCTTTTTTCTGACAGCAGCCTCAGCTATCTGACTTCATGTGAAAGATGGCTAATGCGGAAGTGAGTGTCCCCGTGGGGGATGTGGTTGTGGTACCCACTGAAGGAAATGAGGGGGAGAACCCTGAAGACACTAAAACCCAAGTGATCTTGCAGTTACAGCCTGTGCAACAAGGGTAAGTGACTCGAGATGTGGATATTCTGAAAAATTTGGGAGGTTTAAAGAGTGGGGAAATTATAACTTTATGGTTGCTTAGCACAGTGAAACATTCACCATCAATCTCTCAGAGCTGGCTAAGTTTTCATCTCCATAATGTAGTTTGTGCTATATTCATCATTTTAATACTTATTACAACAATCAGCTGTTTCCTTTCTCTCCCTCTTCTCCACCGTGATCTCCTTGAGGGGTAGTTATGCAGCTCCCTCATCTTATTTATCCACACTAGTTAGCACGGTGCTTTGGTACATGTTTACCCAAAGACAGTGAAGTTAGAGTCAGAGGAGATTAGGCAAGGCAGCTATAAAAGTTTTCCTACCAGAACCTCTCTTTGCCCTCATGGATGGACAAATTATCAAGCTTAGTCTATCAAAAATATATATCAACCACCTACTATTATATAATGAGTTACAAAGGTGTCAGAAGAAATATAGCACATGGTTCCCAAAGTCATGGAGCTTGCAATCTAGTTGTACAAACCAAAAAATACATATATGTAAATAAAGAGATCACTTACATGGCAAAAATCTAAGAAGTGCTAAGTGGCATGGCTAGGAAGTGCTTTGATGTCAGAGGATTACTATGAATTTGAAAGGAGATAAGTTTTAAAAAATGGTCTGGAAGGTTAAATAAGAATTAGATCTACTGGGGCAAAGGAGGGGTAGCTATTTTATCTTGGGGAATGTATAAAAGATTCTTCAGGGGCCCGCGGTTCAGGGGCATAGCGGTTAAGTTCATGCACTCTGCTTCGGTGGCCTGGGATTTGCTGGTTCAGATCCTGGGCACAGACTTATGCACTGCTTATCAAGCCATGCTGTGGCAGGCGTCCCACATATAAAGTAGAGGAAGATGGGCACAGACATTAGCTCAGGGCCAATCTTCCTCAGTAAAAAGAGGAGGATTGGTGGTGTATGTTAGCTCAGGGCTAATCTTCCTAAAAAAAAAAAAGAGAGTCTTCATATGATTAGAAATGTTCTTGGGCAAACATAATCCAATCCCAATCTACTAAGTAATGTACCTTGTCTTAACACTTCTGGAGAAAGACAATCAACTTCTTGGTAATTTTTAAAACTTTTTAATATAGAAAACTTCAAATATACACAAAAATGAAGAAGATACTATAATAAACTCCCATGTAAGCACCCATCAACCAGCTTCAATAATTATCAACACAGGGCCAGTCTTGTTTCATCTCTAAATCCACCCACTCCTGAATTTTTCTGAAGCAAACTCCAGACATTAGCATGTATCTGTAAAAGATAAGGACTTTCTCTTTTTAGTTTTTAAAATATATCATAGTTTGCTGACATTTCTGAATATTGTTAAGCATGAAGAAAATATTCTAACATCTATAAGGGAAAGTTGATATAAATAATTCCTGACATATAGTCAATAGCATGACTTAAATTTTTATAGGGACCAAAAGAATATCCATGCTTATTCACATTCGCTTCCTTGGGAATTTCATTTGTTACACGTACAACAACTTTAGTCATTACCCTTTGGTACAAGAGGAAGGAGTAAAGGGTAGGTTGTGTAGTCCTCAGCAGCTTTGTTTTCTTATGGAGTCATTATTTCTCTGTCTTTCCTAAAGCACTCAGTTGTCACTTGTCATATGCCCTGTAGAGAGAGAAAAAATTTCTTTGCTACTTAGAGACTTAATTCTTTTGAAGATTTAGTTTCCCTTATTTTTCTTTTGTCTCTTTATTTTACAAATGATACTGCCTTTTCTGGAAACCTCTCATTGCTTGATTAGATATAGGCATCTTTCTACAACATGTGTTGACTCCCCAGTCCACTGTTTGCGCTGAATTTAGTATATAAGCTAGTGAATAATCATTTTGAGGTACTGCATTCTGAGATGCCTGCCAATCTGATGCTCAGTTGATTTCTCTTGTTGTATTATTTAATTATATAATATTTTATTGCATTTTAGCCTCATTTTATAAAAAGGAGCAGGGAACAAAAACATTGATACTAGTGACAAGAAGTACAGGTCTTATAAGTTTAATATACTTGAAACAAAGATGGAAGTCAGCAGGTGTCAGTCTTCAGCCTCAGTCACACTTAACCTGATTGGCTGTAGGTTCAAGTATGAAGGAAAGAAACAGTCAAAGAGCATGTATGAATTACTAGGAACATATTGGTAAAGACTGTATCCAAAGGCCAGAAATAATTGGAGATTTTAGATACAGACTTTTGGATTTCAATATATAAAACTCCTCTTAATATGTCTTTAGCTTTTATATATATGACATTTTATACTTTTTAAAATATTCATTATGTACATGTTTTCAAGAATACATTGTGAAGCAAAAGTAGAGTGTCTGGTAACAGTCTCCCGATATGAATACATAGAACCTGACACATTGTATAAGATGATGCTGTCATAGTAACACCAGATCAGCTTTAAAATCTGTCCACATTTAACTTTTTTTTCTTAAACATAGTTACTAAGGTATCTAGAAGGCTTTTAATTCTGGGAGCTTGTCAACATAGAAGAGATGTTTAGCATATACTTTGTTTAAAAAAAGAAAAGAAAGAATAGTTATTAACTTTTTCAAGTGAAGTCTTTGATAACATACTCAAAAAGTTCTCGGAGGAGAGAAGGTACTAGGGTTCTGTCACTGTTCTTGGCTTTCCAGTTCATTTTGGATTCATAATAAAGTTTTTGACACAATGAGATCAGGGACTGGTGATTTTCGTACTACGTAAGTTTACTGAGTGTGCTGACTGACTTCATTCTTCTGTGGAGGACTGGGGTCCAGACGGAGTGGAATAGTTCAGGTTGAGGTATAGGAGCCCTCCTTTCCCTTTCATGCTCATATCCCTCCCTAGTAGAAAGTTTAAGTCTTAAGAACATATATAAACTCTTCCAGATTAGTAGGGTACCCCTTAGTTTATATCATAATCTTAATCCAACATTCAATTAATCAGAATATCTTTCCTCGACATTCTGGATAAAAAGAACTTAACTATATGTGGATTTTCAGTTTTCAGAGAATTAGAATACAATAAGGTAGACTTGACTTTAAAGCTCTAGTGAGCATAATTTTACCTTCCTTTAATGATTTATAAGGCATGTTAGTATCTTAAAATGCCTTAACATTTTGAACGTATTTTATGATTTTTTACTATAGCTGTAGTAGGTATAGAGAATTAGGCTAAATCCATTCCTACCCTGAGTTGCTTTAGAAAATTTTTCCCTGATAAAACCTTGTTTACTCATAAAAATATAGACTATGCCCTCTACTTCCCACTCCATGTGCAATTACTGGTTGTTGAACTTAGGTATAAATAAGAGTTTATTCTTTTAAGGGATTTTGCAGATATTGGCCAGTTTAGAATGAGTTTACTAATCTTACCTTAAGCAGTGGTTTCTCATATTTATTACCATCCTCATTCATCGACCAGCCATTTGAGTGCTTTGCCATGTTCCAGTTAGTATACTATGTTCCAGGCATACAAAATAGAATAAATGAATAAGACATAATCTCTGCTCTCAGGGACCTCGTAGACTATGCCCAAGGGGAGACAGACACGTAAACAAGTGTATAGAATTAAGTGTTTTAGGTGTTGTGACAAAAGCCTAGAGTAAAGTTGGGTCACAAAGGAGGACATGGGTGATTATACTGGAAGGAATGAGATGGAAGGAAAAGCATCATAGAGGCTACTCATTAAAAAAATGAATAGATTGGGAAGAATTTTCTGGGAAGAGGGAGAAGTAAGAGCAAAGAAAGAAGGTATAAAAGAAGATAGCAGTTTTGGGAACCACAAATAGTGTGGTATGATGAGGGCTTGGATTATAAGGTGGGGTTTGGGGAGAGTTGAAACCAGGGGTCAGATCTTGGAGGAACTTAGTCCTCCTTAATATTACTCACATTAAGGATTTGGGGCTTTATTTGAACAGCGAAGAGAGGGTTCTTGAAGGGTTTTAAGGAGGGATTTATGTGATATAGAAGATCAGGTAGATGCATAGAGACTAGTTCAGACTAGAGGTGATACAGCCTGAATTAAGGCAGTAGCAGTGGAAATAGAGTCGGGGATGGCGAGTATAGGAAGAAGAGTAGTTTGGGAGGTGGGAGAGGGAAGAGAACTTGGTTATTTTAGACATAATGTATTCCACAGAGTGTTATCGGACGTGCAAATGTAGTTATTCATTTAGCAGTTAACTCTGTCCTGGTGTGAAATTCAGAAAGGAGGTCTGTGCTAGAGCTGTCACCGGTGGGGATGGGTAATCACTGATGCAAAGGAGATTATTCAGGCAGTGCTTTCAAATAACAAGATGCAATAATTAACACATTGTTTACTATAGAATTTAAACAAAGGACATCAGTGTGTCATATTAGGTTATCTGAACTCATTTCTTAGAAGGTAGAAACATTTTAGAGAGACACTTTCCCTAAGTGGGACCTCTAGTTACTGCTAGGTACTTTGGGCATAGTCTTTCTCTCGCTTTTTTTTCACTAGGCTTTACTCATGTCAATAGTTTGGTTATGGTGCCTTAAAATATGCTAAAGTGCTAAAAAATGCTAAAGTGCCTGGATTTCAACAAGGAACAATAACTTCTATGGTCAACAGGTTATTCCTGTCTCGAACTGTCCAGCAGTATTACTTTATAGTCTTGTTAGGATAATTCTATAATATGACTTAATCTTATACTTGAAGCAACACTTTGTGTTATGAGCTTTTAAAGTTATGAAGGGAAAATTCTGGAGTAAAACGGTGGCAAGTGGAACTTTCCTTTGAGATGAGGAAAGTTGTTGATTCATTTCCATGGTAGTAGCTGCTAAGCAGACCTGGAGAGCTTAGAGTTTAAATACAATGGGGAACTAGTCACAGCATTAACATAAAGTTGTGAAGTATATTTATGTTAGTCCTTTTGAGATAGATTAAAACAAATTTCTTAACCCCATGCTGTGAATATTAATTTTTTCATGATTTATGTAGTTTGTTTATCGATGGACACTTTTACAACAGGATTTATGAAGCCGGGTCGGAGAACAACACAGCAGTTGTGGCAGTAGAAACACACACAATACACAAAATTGAAGAAGGGATTGGTAAGTCTTTTTGTTATTCTAGTACCTTTGACATTAGCTTCTTTGGTTGAGATTTCTTGCCTTTCGTGCTTTGTTTTTTTCCCCATACCTGGTGTGCCCTACCAGTGCTGCAGCCATCAATTTGATGGTGGCACATCTAGAAACACCACTGACTGAGATGCTAGGGCTGTCAGTTGATTGTTTAGCATCAGTTTGCTATAGTTGCTGAGAATATTTTTCATCTGTAAAAATCCCACAAAGAAATTGGAGCCTCAAGTTTGATCCCTGTCATTAGGGAAGTTATTGATGAAGACTGATGAGGTGTTGACTAGAAGGCAGTCAGTGGAAAGAAACTTTGAAATTAGACAAACTTGAGCCAGCCGTGATGGCCTAGCGGTTAAAGTTCGCTGAGCTCTGCTTGGGCAGCCTGGGTTCAGTTCCCCACGCGGAACCACACCACTCGTCTGTTAGTAGCTGTGCTGTGGCAGTGGCTCACATAGAACTAGAAGGCCTTACAACTAGAATATGCAGCTATGTACAGAGGCTTTGGGGAGGGAAAAGAAGAGAGAGGAAGACTGGCACAGAAGTTAACTCAGGGTGAATATTTCCCAGTTAAAAAAAAAAAGAAAAATGAAATTAGACAAACCTGAGTTTGACTCCCACTTTCTCACTTCTTAGCTGTATGTGCTTGGGAAAGTCCCTTCACCTTTCTGAGTCCCACAAATGTATATGTAAATACAGGAAACAATTGCTGCTTCATGATTGTTGTAAGAACTGAATAAGATTAAACATGTAAAAGCATATAGCTCAGTGCCTGGCATATAGTGGGAGCTCAGTAAGAGAGCTGTTATGCCAAACTTCTTCCAGAGGATTCTGAAACAATACCAGCCAGTGTGAACTGCTAGACCGTCAGAGGAACCAGAAGACTAGAGATTTTGAATTTAAGCTTTGGGGAAGAGTGTTTGATAAATAACTGATATTTTTTCCATTTTCAGATGCAAGCACTATAGAAGCAAATGAGGATATGGAAATTGCTTACCCCATAACTTGTGGGGAGAGCAAAGCCATCCTCCTCTGGAAGAAGTTTGTATGTCCAGGAATAAATGTGAAATGTGTCAAGGTAATTGTCTTCTCTCCTTACCATGGCCTATTTTGGGGTTCCTTGTTTTCAAAGGGCATGTTTTTGATGCCTCCTGTCTCTCTTCCACCATATCAATGTTTTTTGATTTTGTGCCTATAGTCCCATTGTGTCACAGTAGAAAAAACAAGGACTTGGGAGTCAAATAGACCTGGATTTAAGTCCCACTAGAATACAAGTTCTATGAGAGCAAGGAACTTGTCTGTCTTGTTCACCATTGTATTCCAAGCACCTAGAATAGTGCTTGGCTTATAGTAGATGATTAATAGATATTTATTGAATGAATGAATGAATCGAGTCTCATCTCTATCACTGACTAGCTGGGTGATCTTAAACAAGTCATTTGATGTTTCAGAGCTTCAGATGTTTCATTTCAGATGTTTCAGAGTATGTTAAAATACAAATAATGATATATACACACTGTAAGGTTGCTAGGAGATGAATGAGATAATATATGTAAAATCCCTTACATTGGTGTGCATAGTGGTAGAGTGTATTGGAAATTATTAATGATGAAAATAAATAATCTTGGGGGCCAGCCCCATGGCATAGTGGTTAATTTTGCATGCTCCGCTTTGGCATCCTAGGTTTTGTGGGTTCAGATCCTGGGCGTGGATCTACACACCGCTCATCAAGCCGTGCTGTGGTGGCATGCCACATACAAAATAGAGGAAGATTGGTGCAGATATTAGCTCAGGGATGATCTTACTCAAGCAAAAAAGAGGAAGATTGGCAACAGATGTTAGCTCAGGGCCACTCTTCCTCACTAAATAAATAAATAATCTTCACGAGAGCACAATGTGGAAATAATTGCTTATTCTAACTCCATTGGTAGCCACAGCTGTACCCATTGATAGTAATCACCCTCAGTGGCATCATCCTAGCATCATTAAGGATTACAGAGTTTTGAGGCTCTGCACTGCTATTGGTAGAAGTAAATATGGTTATAACCATGCTTATTCTTTCTGCCACATCGTGAATCTTATCATTAAAGCTGGATAGAGGGCCGGCCCTGTGGCACAGCGGTTAAGTTCACACGTTCCGCTTCTTGGCAGCCTGGGGTTTGCTGGTTCGGATTCTGGGTGCAGACATGGCACCGCTTGGCAAAAGCCATGCTGTGGTAGGCGTCCCACTTATAAGGTGGAGGAAGATGGGCATGGATGTTGGCTCGGGGCCGGTCTTCCTCAGCAAAAAGAGGAGGATTGGCAGTAGTTAGCTCAGGGCTAATCTTCCTCAAAAAAAAAAAAAAAAGCTGGATAGATTACTTGGGTTTATTTAAACAGCCTTTGCAACATTGGACCCAACTGCCTGATTAAGGGCATGAATAGATTTTAAATGCTAAGCAATATATTGATGTCTGATCCTCCTTGTGTCTTCTGTAGCTTTGTATCAGGGACAGGGCACTGTGCTCAGAGAAGGATCATCTCTGGCACAATAGGACAGGAGGCTGGATAATTAGGCTATGACTTAAGAGGTTGTCTGGGTATTTTTTGTATATAACAAGTAGTTATCATCTCCTTCTTTTTCCTCTTTCTCGTCCTGTCTAAGTTGACATTGGATTATTTTAGACTTTTCTTTTCACTTTAGTTCAATGATCAGTTGATCAGCCCCAAGCATTTTGTTCACCTGGCTGGCAAGTCCACCCTAAAGGACTGGAAGAGAGCCATTCGTCTGGGTGGAATCATGCTCAGGTAAGCTCTAATGGCAAGCACATACCTTTCAACAGACCTTGAGACACTTAATCATGGTAGAATCCAGAGAATCCAGTCTTTGCTCTGTAATTTCAAATTTTATTCTTTCTGAAGGATTGTTTTGAGCAATCCATGCATTATTTGACTTTCATCAACCTGTTCTTAAAATCCCTGGGAGAGAAGGAATATTGAATTAATTAACTCTTCTCAGCATCTGGGGCAAATTTTTCTGATGTCAGGATGGTGGGTAGGATCCTCTTTGGGCAGAGGAGCTCAGGAGTAGATGACAGTCCTGCCTGACATCACCAAGCCTAGGCAGAGCTAAGACTGGTGCTGAGAAAATGTGACAACCACAGACAAGTGTAGGCTGACTGACAAATCCTGGGATAATCTGATAAAGTAGAAGGGTGCTGTTGATAAGTAACAGTTATGCACAGGGAATGTAATTTTTGCCATCATTGTATCACAGAAATAAACTTAGAGAAGTGTAATATTCCCTCCCCCACTCCTTTTTTGCAACAAGTTTACTATTGTAATTTTTTCCCTCTGGTGAAGATTGACCTTAGTTGGTTCCTTGAGCACTTGCCTATTGATAGAAAATTTTAAAATATGGTCAAGAATTAAAAGTTCCCCACAAAACTGTATCAAGAGCCTTAAAAACATTTTACCCTTTGTCTTTAATTCCTTTCAAGGAACTTGTCTTAAAAATCTATAGTGCTTGTAGAGATTCACGCATAAATGTTCATTGCAACATTATTTATTATGGGGAAAATTACAGTCTGCTTTAATATACAGTCAAGGTATATTTAAAGTAAGTTATGGCTAGTCTAAATAGGTATGAGTATATACTATGGGATATAATGCAGTTATTAAAATATTTCTAAAGAGTTTTTAGGGGCTGGCCCTGTGGCCGAGTGGTTAAGTTCACGTGCTCCGCTTCAACAGCCCAGGGTTTCACCAGTTTGGATCCTGGGCGCGGACATGGCACCACTGGTCAGGCCATGCTGAGGCGGTGTCCCACATGCCACAACTAGAAGGACCCACAACTAAAATATACAACTATGTACCGGGGGGATTTGGGGAGAAAAAGCAGGAAAAAAAAAAAGATTGACAGCAGTTGTTAGCTCAAGTGTCAATCTTTAAGAAAGAGCTTTTACATGGAAAAATGCTTATGATATAATGTGAAGAAAGAAAACAAAAGATAAAGTCGATTAAACAGTGTGATTTTAGCTGTGTTAAAAAATACACATATGTAAGTAAAATTTAGTAGAAGAAAATATGCCAAAATGTTGATGTTATCTCTGAGTTGTGGGATTTTTTTTAAAGGGTAGTTATTTTCTGTACAGCTTTCTGTATTTTCCACAGAAAATGTTAATTTTTTATTCACATATTATTTTTATAGTCATAGACAATTTAAAAAAAATTCACCCCAGATGATTTGTGTACAGAAATCAGTAGTTGAATAAAATTGGGGAGGAATACCTTTAACTTTCATTTTCATGGTTCTTGGCCTGTTTTATTTGCCCAGAAAAACAAGCATATGCCTACTTTCTGCAAATGTAAAAAGGAATAAGAACGTCTAAAAAACCTTTAGTGAAAGCCAAGTAACATTATAACATAGAGTTTACTATAATTAAAATACTCCACGGTTTTGCACATGACCTATAATAACAATGTCTTGTGGATCCACTTAGAAGGACATTTTATAGTGGGGGTTTAGTATAACCAACTTTGCTCTGTATTTATAGGAGAGATGTTATCAATTTTTTTTTTTAAGGAAGAAAATATGCTGAAGTTTTATGTCTCCAAAAGTGGAAACAGATCTTGCTGATCTATAAATACTAATACATCAGAATCTCATCATAAAATTCTAATTCCCCTGTGGCATTTCTCAGTTGTTCTGGGGTATGAGCTAGTTTTTTTGCCATTAGGGTTTGGTTTTAGTGAAATTCTATGGGGAAATAGCTATTGTCAGGAGTGTTTACCTAAAGCTTAGTGATAAGGGGAAATAAAAGAGTACTCAAAATGTGTAGACTGGGGAAGGCAGAGGAATACTTGTAAATGTGGGCAGGACCAATGAAAATTTTATAGCCCCAGTTAGAACTTTTGCAACCTAATGACTTTTGAGGTTTTGCTAATCTGCAGAGTAGACTCAGCAAGTTTGTCCCCGAGGCCTAATTCCCTCTAGAAGTGCGGACTGAACTGGTCCTTATCTCCCTTTGCACAGGAAAATGATGGACTCCGGGCAGATTGATTTTTACCAACATGACAAGGTTTGCTCCAATACCTGCAGAAGCACCAAATTTGATCTTCTGATCAGCAGTGCAAGAGCTCCAGTGCCAGGACAGCAGACAAGTGTGGTGCAGACACCCACTTCGGCCGATGGTAGGGGGTAGGAAACCACCTGAAAACCCGCTATGTTTTTCAATAGCACTTTCCCTCTCATTTCTTCTTTGTGTTTCTTAATTTTGATTCTCATGAGCATTGATGTCTCTGTAAAGTATAAGAATCTTGGATGGGATTCCATGCTTTAGAAACAGACCTCTTCATTTTCTCCCAAATGATTCCTATTGGCCAGACCGCCTTCCTTGTTTCTTTGTTACAATGCATGGTAAGCATTAGAAGGATGGTTTGGTAATTCTAATACTTATTCAGCTGTTTCACTTTGGTGCCACTTGGCATATCTAGGTTGAAATTAGACTGTTTTGAAAATCCTTTGCTCTATTAGTGGTCAAAGCAGGAAGGTGGATTAGAATGGTGGATGGTTTTCAATTGTTGAACTGAGATGTATCAAAGATGATGAATTGTTGACTGGGCTGGACTCTGGAGACTGTGCTGTAAGGATCAAAGAGCTCTGCCTGGAAGGGATCCAGATAACCCAGCTGAGGCTTCCTCTCAAATAAGGCAGGATGGGCACACACTTAACTTCAGTATTGTTGAGCTTAGGACTGGGGCTCCCTGCCCATCTCCAGGAATGATGTAGCTGTGTGAAATTGTTACTATTAAGCATTCACTTAGTCCAACTGGAGACTTAGCACAGTTAGATAGAAGTAGTCTCAACTTCTATCCAGAAGACTTATAAGTATGCCTGACAGAGTTGCAAGAACCCTAAAGGATGTAGGGGAAGTACTGTGCTTTAAAGTTTTTGAGGTTTCTTTTGATCAGCCCTGATATTCTGTGAGTAACCACTGGGTGAGTAGAAGCCAACTGTCTTGGAACCCAAGTCCTTTCCAGGAAAGTATAAAATATCTGGCAGCTTGGATTTTTGGTCATGTGACTCACTGGAAAAATGGAAAATGCTGTCATTATTTACTTCCTTTTTATTTGGCTAAAACTCCTTTACATGATTATCCATATTGATACTACTTTTTTGCTTGATTATTGATATCCTCCAGCATGTAGAGTCCACACTTGTCTGTCTGGATCAGTTTGATTTTTCTCAATTCTCTTTGTTTAAAATCTTAGGGGGCCGGCCCCATGGCCAAGTGGTTGAGTTCGCGCATTCTGCTTCGGCAGCCCAGGGTTTCGCCAGTTCGGATCCTGGGCGCGGACCTAGCACCACTCTTCAAGCTATGCTGAGGTGGTGTCCCACATGGCACAACTAGAAGGAGCCACAGCTAAAATATACAACTATGTACTAGGGGGCTTTGGGGAGAAGAAGGAAAAATTTTTTTAAAAATCTTAATATACAATTGATAACAAAGGGTTTTTTTCTCTGTGAATCTGCTATTCATGGATCTCTTCTTATCTGATTTTTCTTTGGTCTCATATCTCTTGCTTTCTTTTACATAGGCTGATAAATAAGCTGTAGCAACTTCAGATGTTCTAGATACTTAGTAACAAACATGCTTGTAGTAGGGTTCTTGGTTAAGCACCATTCTCTTCTCTTATATTTTTTTAGGTCCTCTTCATCCTCACTAAGTCTCGGGTAGGCAGCCCAGCAATCATACCCACCTTCATTCAGTCTCTTTCAAAAACATCCCTGCTCAGGAAGCAGATTGCTCTTTTGTGATTTTATAAGTTATCTTTCACTTTCTATTCAGAGTAAGAAGAGAGCATTTTCTTTTGCAAGGCAAGTTTTCTTTAGAAAATCCAATATTCATCCTGGCTTACTTAGGATTCTAGTTTTTAATATATGGACCTGCAGGCAAAAGGTCAGAAGGTTAAAATAACAGGGTCTCTTTGACTGTGAGTATGAGACAGAGGATAGCTATGACTTTTCCATAAAGTTCACTGGCCTTACCTCCAATGGACTGCTTTTAGGTAGCATCACACAGATTGCCATCTCAGAAGAGAGCATGGAAGAGGCAGGGCTGGAATGGAACTCGGCTCTCACTGCTGCTGTCACCATGGCCACAGAAGAGGGCGTGAAAAAAGACTCAGAGGAAATTTCAGGTACTTTTCTATAGGGCTCAGATACCTTGCGGGATTTTGTAATCCTTATCACTATTATGATTATGGACACAGAAGGCATCTTAATTACTTTTGCTGGTTTTTCTCATGCATATTAATACTACTTATAGCTGCAAACATCTTATTTTAATCCATGCAACAGCGCTGCAAAGTCACATTTTACACGTGAAGAAATTGAGATTCAGAAAGGTGCAGCAACTTGCCAAAGACCAGTCACACAACCAATAAGTGTCAGAGCTGAATTCAGCTTTTTGACTCTATAGCCCATGCTTTTCATCCAATCAAACTGCCTCCAACTTTGGCACATTTCTTGGCTAAACCAAGCTGCAAGATGTTAGAAGGAAAAATTAGGTAGCAGGTTGTGTAGAGGATGGTGATTAATGATGATTCACTTAGAGGGGACCAGGAGAGGCCTCACATTATCCTCCGTTCATTAATTCATTTAAAAAATATTTATTGCTGCCTGTTTGTGGTTGGCACTGTTGCTAGAGGCTAGATAAATAGATGAAAAGATGTAGCCTCTGCCCTCGGGGAGCTTATCACCTCACCTATGCAACTGTTTTGTTTTTTATTTTTTTAAGTAGAGGACTAGGAGGAATATATCTTTAGTTTAATATCTTTATTATTTAACTTTTAAAATATTAAATATTATTTAATTTTAAATTAAATTATTTAAATAAACAATATTTAATTTAATATCTTTATTAGGACGATGCCTGCTCGTTATAGCCAGAGCCATGACAAATTGAGGCAATTATCCCAAATCCCTTTTGTTGCTGAAGAGGCCAAATAATTAGGTACCAATTCAGGGAGGCAGCTAGTTTTTCAAAAGCTTCTTCCCTTTTCCCAGAAATGGCCCAACAAGAAATCATTTTGAATTGAAATAATTTTGAATTTAATATGTTGTAGACATGTGCCTAAGAATATATAGTACCCTTTGTTTACCCTCTGTCTTATCCCTCTTGTACCAGAGGACACTTTGATGTTCTGGAAAGGAATAGCTGATGTGGGACTGATGGAAGAGGTTGTCTGCAATATACAGAAGGAAATAGAGGAGCTGCTGAGGGGAGTTCAACAGCGCCTCATCCAGGCTCCCTTCCAGGTCACAGGTGAGTGTATTAACCCTAACAATAGTCGTCGTTTATTAAACACTAACAACTGTAGGCAGATCCTGTCAGCCTCGCGAAAACAGTGAGGTATAGGTGTTATCATCCCCATTTTACAGATTAGGAAACTAAGGCTCATAAAAGTTAATTTACTTGTTCAAAGTTCATAACTAGGTTTTGAAGTCAGATCTGGCCATGCTTTTTGCAAAGGTAATTTTTGCCTTTGTAAATGGTGCCAGGAAGCAACCTCTCTCTGTCTCTATATAAATGGTCTGAAAATTGGAGAAATCTACCTGGTTTTAGATAATTCTCATATTCTATTAGTTTAAAGGCTCCAGAACTACAGAACTATTGTGTGTACTTATAGCTGTTTCTGAATATTCACAGAGTGCTTGCTGCTGTGCACAATGTAAAAAGGATGTTCTAATCATCTGATACCAAAAGGGGTCATGATGAGATCTCATAAGGTTGTGTGTTCATTGAGTTCTTAGATTTGTTGGTTGTATCTTATTACCTCTTTATAACTCATACATAATGTAAATACACCTAAACAAACTTTACAGAAAAATCTTTTTTTACATGCTTGAAGTAAAAAAAAGGCAAATAATATGGAGAATGGGGGTGGCTATTTTAGATAGTGTAGTCAAGAAAGGCCTCTTTAAGGAGGTGGCATTTGAGCAGAGATCTGAATTGAAGAAGCTAGCCATGTGACAAGCTGGGAGAAGGAACATTCCAGGTAGAAGGAACAAAGACCTTAAAGTTGCAATGAGCCTGATGGGTTAAAAGAGTTACAGAAGCATCGACGTGGCAGGTAGTAAGGTTGGGGAGCGTGATAGGTGATGAAGTTGGGGAGGAACAGAGCGGACAGTTTAGATAAGCTTTGGTGAACTTTGGGCTTTATTTTAAGGTGATGGTAAGCCGTCATAGTGATTTTGAGTAGGGGAATGAAGTTATCAGATTTATTCATATTTTTAAAAGATCACTCACACTTTTAAAAGATCCACACTCTGTGTGGAGAATAGGCTATATGGGGCAAGAATGGAAACAAGAAGATTGATTGGGAAACTCTTGAAGGAATTACTCCAGGCAGGAGATGATGGTGGCATGGATTAGAGTGGGTAATGGTAGACCTGGGAAGAAGTGATCATACTGGGGATATGTTTTGAATGTGGAACTGACAAATCTTGGATTGGATGTAGGGTGAAAGAGAAAGAAATCCAGGATGACTCATACAGTTTTGGCCTGAGCTGTGAATGGTGATATCATTTCCTGAGATGAAGACCACTGGGAGAAGAAATCAAAATTAGTTTTTGACTTGTTAAATTGAAATGCTTATGAGGCCTTCAAATGGAGCTTTCACTCAGCTAGATGAAAGTATGAATCCGGGGAAGTATGAATCTGGAACGCAGGAAAGAGGTCAGGGCTGGAGATCTCCATGTGGGAGTTCTCAGCTTGTACATGTTATTTAAAAGATGGAACTGGATGAGAAGATTGTGGAAGAGTTATAGGTGGAGAAGTGATCCGATTTAAGGAAGTAAGGACCACAATTACTGACAACTCTTTCAAGAAGTTTTGTATAAAGGGAGACAGATAATACTATTAATAATATTGTATGCCAGTCCCCATGTTAAAATGTGATATTTCTGGGGCCGGCCTGGTGGCACAGCAGTTAAGTTTGCATGTTCTGCTTTGGTGGCCTGGGTTTGCCGGTTCGGATCCCAGGTGTGGACCCTTGTCAAGCCATGCTGTGGCAGGCGTCCCACATATAAAGTAGAGGAAGATGGGCACAGATGTTAGCTCAGGGCTAATCTTCCTCAAAAAAAAAAAATAAATATGATATTTCTAATCTTCATATCTATCTTGCAGAGTAAGTATTATTAGTCCCACTTTTTTTCAAATGAGAAAACTGAGGCATGAAATGACTTATCCAAGGTCACACAGATAGGAGGAAACAGCAAAACTGAGATTCTATGACCGTGTTTTCTAAACCAAAAGTCAGAACCTATAACCAGATGCAAGATTTTTTTCCTTATGTTTGTATTTATTTATATGGAGAGATGTATAAAAATATAACAATTAAATCAAAATTAGTTATACATGTGATAAATCTTTGTTAAAATTTTTAAAAAATGCGATTAGAATCATCCTGCCATTTCTGGGTTGTTTCACATTTATACGCAGCAAAACAGGGATTTGGTGGAGCATTTCTGTTTTAGCTCAACAGGCATGTCTTTTGTTTCCAATAGATGCCGCTGTTCTCAACAATGTAGCACATACATTTGGCCTGATGGACACAGTCAAGAAGGTTTTGGACAACAGAAAGAACCAAGTGGAGCAGGGGGAAGAGCAGTTTCTCTATACTCTGACAGGTGTGTTTAGCTTCTCTCTCTTCTTAGGTGATACTGTGCTAATATCCTTGAGTCTTGCCATTTCTTTGTTGACTTCTGTTAGGACTGGCTTCCTCCCTCCCTCCCTCCCTTCCTTCTTTCTTTCATTTCTTCTTCATCATAGTCCTCCTTCTATATCTTTTGGAGGATTAAGAGGTTGGCTAGAATGCTCCATTAATCCAGTAATATTGGTAGCAGAAGAAACAAATTTGCCTTTGTCTTTTTTTATATTATTGATACTGCATCTTTTGATAGATATAAATTTAGCACCCTCTTTATTATTCGTGGTAATCAGAAATTATGAAGACATGGATAATTTAACTCTTTTTATCAAGTATTTACTTTGTGCTGTCTCCACACTAGGTTTTAGAAATATAATGTTGAATAAGACAGGCTCCATTTCTTCATGGTCTTCAAGGAACTCAAGGGAAAAGCAGACATAGAAATAAGTCCAAAGAGTAGTTCAGTTTTGTGACAGAGGCGTATAGCAGTGGGTATGGTAGAAGAACAGAGGGAGTTGGCACTTATACCTGGAGAGAATCAAGAGGCGCTTTTGGGGGGGGTAAGGCAGATGAAAGATATCAAACAAGTCAGGTTTGGACTCTCAGCCTTTGAATGATGCAGGATGTATTATAGTCAGTCATGAAGCCAAAAGGCAAAGATCATTTGGTAAGAGAAGAACAATTTATGTTGTCTTAAACTTATTTTTATGCCTAGTTTATATTTTAAACTCAGTTTACCGAGTACTCTTAGAGATGCCCTTTTTCATGTGATCCTCCTGAGAATGTTATAGGCTGTAATCCCTATTTTACAAATGATCCAATAGAGGCACAGAGAGGATAAATGATTTGCCTGGGGCCACACCACTACTTGACAGTGAAGCCTGGAGTAGAACTCTGTCTTCTTATTCCCAACCCAGTGCTATCTTCCACCTTGAAACTTTACACCATCTGAAAAATGGTTTTTGTTAGAAATGTAGGCTTCTGGTTACTTGTCCATATTATTTTTTTAGATAGTTTTAATTATAGTATACATGAAGTTTTGTTTTCTGCTTTTTTCACTATGACATATTAATATTTTTCTGAGTTAGCTACACAGTACTTCACATAGACATGCTATTAGGAGACATTTGAATTTTCAAAATTTTCCTCAGTAGCTTATATTATTGCTGTGAGCTTGTATGTATATAACTTTTTCTTTTTATTTCTTTCCTTTTCTTTTTTTTTTTTTTTTTTTTTGCTGAAGAAGATTGGCCCTGAGCTAACATCTGTGCCAGTCTTCTATTTTGTATGTGGGTTGCTGCCACAGCATGGCTGCTGATGAGCAGTGTAGGTCTGTGCCCAGGAACTGAACCTGGGCCACCAAAGTAGAGCGTGTCAAACTTAACCACTAGGCCACAGGGCTGGCCCTACTTTTTCTTTTTATGTCCTTTTAAACTACTTCTGAGGACTAAGCTTGAGGTTAAATGGTATTGATAATTTTTTTATGGATTTTTGTGACCTATTGTCAAATTTCCAAGGTGATTATACCAATTTATGTCACCAGTTTGAACTTACCAAAATTGGGCGCTGTTATTTATAATATTCTCTGATTTAGCTTTTTTTTAAATTATAGATTTAATCTGTATCTTGTTTAGGTTCACATTTCTTTGATTACTACTGAACAGGGAAAAAATGGAGTATTTTGTAACCTTAAAGGGCAGTATTTTAAAATTTTTTAACATGTTCTTAATCCCTGCCTACTCCTTTTATTCCAAGCAAGGAATTAACTTGCTTTTGGTGTTCAAAAGGAAGCAAAGTGCTCTGCAGGTGAAACTGACTACTTATTGGATGCTTATCAGGTACTAAGCAGTAGAGAAGTTCTGTTGTAGAACCAGACTCACCAGTGGTCACCAAGGTTAGATTGGACACTTGGGAGAGGGATAGTGACAGGTGTATTGTGGTGGAAAAGCCACCAAGTTGGCCATCAGGAGACTTTTGTCTTGGCCCAAGATTTGTGACCTCAAGTAAGTCACTTTACCTCTCTGAATCTCTGTTGAAATGAATGTGCTAGAACTCCAAGACTTCCTTCAGTTCTGTAATTCTTAGGAATTTCTTCTGTAACTTTATGTAGACTTCTCTGGGGGCTAATGGTAGGCTAAGGCCATTTGGGTCACCAGCAAGGTGAACCTGCCTTGAAGGACATTTTGGAAATCACTGTTTTTCAGAGTGACCATTGTAGCTCCTTTGTCGGTCCACGGCAGATACAAAGGGATTATGCAGATGTTCCTTATTTTCATCTGTAGACCAGGCAAGGTGTATATAAGCTGCTAGATCAACTGGAGGCTTCTTTGGTTTGCATTTTGGTGACAGGTGATAAAATGCCACAGGAGCTCCTGGAGTTGAGCTATAGTAGGATCACAGCTTAAAAAGATTCTGAATTGTTGCCCTGCCTATAATCACACAATTAAATGTAATTACTGGAGGGATTTTAAAAATCATCCAGGGGCCAGCCCAGTGGTGTAGTGGTTAAGTTTGCACGCTCCACTTTGACGGCCTGGGGTTCACAGGTTTGGATCCCAGGCTCGGACCTACACACCACTCATCAAGCCATGCTGTGGCAGCATCCCACATACAAAATAGAGGAAGATTGGCACAGATGTTAGCTCAGGGCCAATCTTCCTCAGCAAAAGAAACAAAAAAAATTCATCCAGTCTAGTTTCTTCTTGAAAACAATCAAGTGACTTGCCTGAGGCTACATAGTGGCAAAACCAGGACAAGGCTGCAGGTCTCCTCACTCCAAGTTTACTGTTCCCAAGATTAGACTTCCCTCCACACAAAGTCTGTCTTTTTTTCCATAGACTTGGAACGCCAGTTGGAAGAGCAGAAGAAGCAAGCTCAGGATCACAGGCTGAAGTCCCAGACGGTTCAAAATGTGGTACTGATGCCTGTGAGCACTCCTAAGCCTCCAAAAAGGCCCCGGCTCCAGCGGCCAGCCTCCACCACTGTCCTGAGCCCTTCTCCTCCTGTCCAGCAGCCTCAGTTCACAGTCATCTCACCCATCACCATCACCCCAGTGGGTCAGTCGTTTTCCATGGGCAATATTCCAGTGGCTACCCTCAGCCAGGGCTCCAGTCCTGTGACTGTCCACACACTGCCTTCTGGCCCTCAGCTCTTCCGCTATGCCACAGTGGTCTCCTCTGCCAAGAGCAGCTCACCAGAAACAGTGACCATCCACCCTTCATCTAGCTTGGCACTGCTAAGCTCCACCGCCATGCAGGATGGGAGTACCCTGGGCAACATGACCACTATGGTGAGCCCTGTGGAATTGGTGGCCATGGAGTCTGGCCTGACCTCGGCAATCCAGGCTGTTGAAAGCACCTCAGAGGATGGGCAGACCATCATTGAGATTGACCCAGCCCCAGACCCAGAGGCTGAGGATACTGAGGGCAAAGCAGTCATTTTGGAGACAGAACTGAGGACTGAGGAGAAAGTTGTAGCTGAGATGGAAGAACACCAGCATCAAGTTCACAACGTGGAGATTGTAGTCTTAGAGGATTAACTGGGGATCTTGGGGCCAGGAGATATGTTTTGGTTTCAAATTTTAATTATTTGTGTTTTTTTTTTTTATCATTGTCCCACTCATTTCCACATAGGATCCTTTTTTTTAAAACAAAATCTCGTTGTTATAATTGAAAATGTTGGGTCCCTCCCACACCCTCATTGAAAAATGGACAAAAATAAGCTGCCTTTCCAGAATTTGAGAGTAGGTCACTCAATGTCCTAAGCCTCTTACACCAAGAAAGTTATTTCTTTTAGGGGAGGCATCAAGATAACCGGAAACCCTATCCAGAAAGCTCTTTCCAGACTAGTCTATCTGTGTACGCATGTGTTTTTATTCTCATAAAGATGCATTGACCAAACTCTGGAACAGAGATCTGACACTGGAAGGCAACCCACTCACACATGGATGCAGAAGGATACTTTATTTTGTATCTTGGAAAGGGCCCTCAGAGGCCAGTGCAAAACTGAAACAAAAGGAAGTTGAACTCTGCTTGGAGGGGAAGGTGGCATACCAGCAGCGGCTTAAAAAGGGAAGTGCTTTGGCCAGGATGGGGCAAGGAAATTATCTTACTTCCAGAAGTGCAACTGATGCCTCTTGATATCTCTGAGGGTTACCACCATGGGTGCCGTTTTGAGGAGAGGGCAGTGGTAAGTGGAAGGGTACGTCTCCATGGAACAAGCAGCATCAGGGGCCTGCGGCTTTACAGAAATAGCAATCCAGGGATGTCACAGCTGTGCTTTGGGATTGAAGCTCACCTTGCCCCCGACTTTGTCAAAGCACTTAACCCTTCTAAACTAGGATCAGTCCATTCCTTTGCAAAGTGTGTTTTGTGGTGTAAATTGCTCTGGTTCTTGGACTGTGGCTGTCATGGGGGTGGGGCTCCAAGGCCATCATTTTTACTGCATGACCCCAGGAGCGGGGGAGTTCCTCATCCAGACCAGCTGCCCTCTTTGGTGGGGCCATGTTTTGGCTTTGGAACCAAAAGCAGCCACTCATTTGGTGCTTCCTCTTGTTCACCCCTCCATCCTTCAACTGTTAATGGCATCTGTCTTCTGGATCCCACGCTCTTCAGCTTTTTGGCTGATTCCGAGAACAGTGACAGGTGCCTGCCTGCCTTCATCCCCTTTTAGATTCATTTATACCATTTATACCACAGATGTTTCTGTGAGATATTGAGCTCATAAAAAAACCTTAGGCTTGGCAGGGAAGACTCAACACCCCCAGCCTATCCTGAGGCACTGAGTAGATGTCTCCTCCTGAGCGAGCTGGACTCCCTGGGAAAGAAGCATTGTCTGCCACGTTACATTATAGGAAATGTACAGCAATGTCAATAATGATGTCTTTGGGGGGATTTTTTTATGTTGTTTGTGTATTTAGAGCTGGGCCATTTTCCGTGCTGTGATTCCTTCTCTTTGACCATCGTCAGTGTTTGGGGGCAAGAGTGGACCCTGGTTTTTATTTCTTTGATTGCATTGTTTACTGCACTAGGAAAAACATAGGGAAACTGCAGACAATTTAAAGGAAAAATAGGTCAAAAAAGAAAGCACACACCTTAGGAGTGGGAGGATTTTTGTTTTTTTTTTAATTAAAAGCAAAACTTTGACCTGTAGTTTCTTTTTTTTTTTTTAAAGAGGGCAGCCGCCTGAAGCCATGTTTCTTCCAACAGATGTTGGAAACCCTGTCGTCAAACACGTGAAAACCGCGTTCTGCCATCCTTCAGATGGCTCTATATAGTTAGAGAAGCCCTCTAATTTGGGAGGGACAATCTTGAAAGCCTTAAGTATGAGATTTCTGAACCCCATACAGTTGTGGTTTTCAGCTTTAAAATTATCTGGGGTTTTATTTTCCTTGAAACATTCAACAGACATAGCAACCAGCTTAGAACAAACCTTTGGCCATTTATGTATCTTTAGTGAGGGAAGTGGCTTTTATTTCTTGCTTCTTTACATTTTCTCTTGGTACATAAACAAAAACAAAATTTCTGACTAAGCCTAAAACTACTACTTGAACCTAGAAAGGCGCAGGTAATCCCTATTGTGGTTTTTAGGGACACTTCTCTTTCGCAGAGACAAGAGGCCCAATTCAGGACAGAGCAGGAGCCCTGGAGAACACCTACATGCTAGCTCAGGTCCCTTTCTTTCCTCCGTCAGAGCTGTTGGCAGTGTTTTAAAGTAGTACGAACAACATGCTTCCAAAGTCAAGAGAGCTCCTCCTCCTAAAGACAGAGCGTGTTTACTTTCACTATCTGAATATTCTGACTGGTGGAAATACATGAGCCTTGTTTTCCTGGTCTTCCAATAGCCTATCATTATTGCTAGATGCTATGGCACTTGTTGTTGAGTGTGGGTTCCCTCACAGCCCTGGTCTAGAGGATCTCAGACCGGGTGAGACATATGCAAGCCATTGGTATGTGCGCAAGCAGTTGCAATGAATCATTCCTCAGGCTAACTTGGCAGTAGCCATCTATCTTTCTGTTCATTCATTAAATAAACATTTGTAAGTACCATCTATGTGCCAGGCTTTGTGCTAGGCACTGGCAGTACAGAGATGAAGACATAGTCCCTGCACTCAAGGAATTCGTACTCCAGAGGTTATCTGGAGTTAAGAACTATATTTCAATATAATTGGTTTCCTTTGTAATTCTATATATTTTATTTCATGCATTGAAAAACATTCTGAGAATTGGTCCATAGGTTTCAGAGGACTACCAAAGGCACAAAAAGTTAAGGCCTTCTCTAGTGAGAGACTGAAACAGATCATATTGGGGTAAGTATGGTGATAGAGCTATTGGCTGGAAGCTGCTGTGAGAACAAAGGATTGAGCACCTAACCTAGCTTAGGGCAGGGGTCAGCAAAGATGGGAGCACTCCCTGGAGAAGGTGTATACCTAAGCTGAGTTAGGAGAGACCATTTTTAGCTAGTTTTTCTGTACTCCATTTTCAAGTAGTTGAAATTTAATTTATTTCTCTTATTTATATAAGAAAAAAAACTCCTTAGTCTCTTGCTGCTTCTGCCTCCAGAGCTAGGCAGAGTCAGCAGTATGGGCAGTCTCTCCTGAGAGTACCCCACTAGAGAAAGCCAAGCCATGTGTTGGCTTCTCTGGGTTTCCACCAGATGAATCCAGTGCAGAACTGGAGTTTAGCTTATAGAAGGTAAATGCCCCAAACCTTCCTGCCACATGGTTTCCACAAAGCCCTGAGAGTCAACTGTACCACTGCCTCGCCTTGGCCATGTCCCTGCTTGGCCCCTGCCTTGTTCTCTTTTCCTTCCTGCCCCTCCCGCCTCAAACAACCAAAACAAAACAAAAAAACTCCCAGTCATTCTGGAAATGGACAACAGACTTGAATATTCAAGCTTCAAAACCACTTCATGTGAAGTTTTTTTCACCCCTCTGCCCATATTAGGGAAGGAGGACCAATGTTAATCCAAATACCATGGAAATTAATATTCAGTTCCGGTGGCCTGACACCCTTTAATGGTGGCATTTTATCCCATTTCGTGAAAGGCTCTAAAGGTAAGTCTGTATAGTGGGAAGTACTGGTATTGGTAAAATTTGATTAGAAAGATTGTAAAATCGAGCATGAAATATGGAATTACTAGTTCATTGAGTTGTAACTGGTCCAGGGTTTAGTACTATCAAGGAGGTGGAAAGGACAAAGAAAAGTTTGAATTCTCAAAATAGGCGTGAGGTTGTGATTCACTTCGGGCAATACTCCAGAGGAAACAGTCCTCTCAGAGACAAATTCTTGTAATGTCCTCCAATAACAACCAAAGTTGTTGTACTAGACAAGGGATTCCAAGGGACCAGTTCTGCCAGATTTGGACTCTCTTTGCTCCAGGTCTCCTTCCCAATCCTGGAACACCTTTCTTAGTTCTGAGCTATGCAGTTTGACTTCCTCTAGAAGGTTCTACATTGCTCAAACTTCCTTATCCATAATCCTACATCTCTAGCCCTTGCTTTTGGGAACCAAACGTTATTTGGTTACCAAATTCTGCCATGTTAGTAAGTACCTTAGTGCTGTGTCAGTAACACATTCAACTCAAGACAATCATTTCTACTCAAGGCACCGCCAAGACCCAAACCTCAGCATACAACCATAGATCGCAGGCTTCACCACCTAAAACACCCTTCCTGACTCTATCAATCACCTGAATTGAAAGCACCTTTGGGATGTGCTTGTGCAGTGACTTATAGGCAACTTCCCCAGAACATCTAGAATCAAAAACCTCTCTTTTACACCCAATTCATTCTCGACCTATGGTCTGTGGCCCAGGCTAAGACATGCCTGTTTCTTGGATAAATTATTTCAGCCCAGTATGATTCCTGCTACGTCTTCACAACTGCCTGAGATTTCTGCTACATCTTGTGAGCCTCTCAGTCTAAAGAGTCCTGATGTCCTCTCGACGTGAAGGAGGCCACACCCTACTTGGAAATTGCTTCTGAGTTCTCCTCCTGCATCTGTGGTTTCCAATTCTGTAGCTTTACTGAAAGTTATGGCTTATAATGTAGTATATATGGATTTATTTTTCTGATTTGAGAACAAGAAGGAGCAATAGTATTGGATCACATATAAGGGTAAATGTGAGGCTGGGTAATAACCCAGAAGGAAGGACGAGTTCCTCATGGGGCTTTGTAGGAGCTTCTCTAAGGGAAGCATACACAGGGGGATTTACCTGTATTTCAAAGTATAAATTTGGTTTTTTAAAATGTCTCTTCTATTTTCTCTAAAGAAATCTATGAATTAGAGAGCAAACTGGAAGCCCACAGCCCTGATCCAGCCTGAATACCTACTCTGGCCCACATTTTTTTTGTTTTGTTTTAACTTTTTATTGAAGTATAAATGCATACAGGAAAGTTCACAAATCACTGTACATTTTGGTAAATTTAATGAACTGAACCCACCCCTGGAATCAGCTTCCAAATCAAGAAAAAAAAATTTACCAGCATCTCACCCAGCCAGGGTAACCACTACCTAGTTCTTTAATTCCATAGCTTAGTTTTACCTATTTTTGAACTCTTCTGTAGCTGGCTGTTTTTCAGTCAACATTGTGTTTGAGATTCACCCATAATATTGTCTGAAGTTGTAGTTGGTTCCTTCTCGTTGCTGTGTAGAAACAGTGACTATGCCGCAGCTGACCCATTCTAATGATGGGTGCTTGGGTAGTTTCCAGTTTGGGGCTATTGTGAATAATGCCTCCAAAGATTCTCGTACATGTCTTTTGATGAGCATATACAGGTATATGCATTTATGCCTGCACAGAGTTTCAAAGAGTTGGACAGTCCATGTGAAAAGTTCAAGATACAGTTTTTCTTCAAAAAACAAAAACCAGAAACCCAGAAGATCTGACAACATTGGGTCCACATTTCCTCATAGCCACACTTGACTGGAACTGAGGCCCGTCTTAGGTGGGGCACGGCTTCTTCACGGACCCTGTCACTCCCTGTTACAAACCTAGACCTACTTATTCGGGTAATTAATTTTTTTGATTCAATAATCTCTTAGGACACTCTTCCCCCAGATAACTGCAAAGCTTATTTCCTCACTTCCTTCAAGTCTCTGTTCACGTTACCTTATCAGAGAGGACTTCCCTGACCACCCACCCTATAAAAATGGCAACTTCCCCCTGCACTGTGCTTCCTTTTTTCCTTTTACCCGGCTTTATTTTTTTCCTTTTTACTTATCATCTGACGTACATTTATTTTTTCTTCCCCAACTAAAATGGAAGCTCTATGAGAGCAGGGACCTTTCTTGTGTCTTAGTCACTGCTGTTTCTACAGTCTCTGGAACGGTGCTTGGCATGTAGTGGAAGCTCAGTAGATATCTGGTGCATGAATAATAATGCTACTAACAGCCAATACTTATTGAAGGGTAACTGTGTACCAAGCATTGTTCTGAGCACTTTATACATGTTAATCCATTTGGTTCTCACAACCATCCTTTGTGGTGGATAGCATTATTTACTTCATTTTACAGTGAGGAAACGAGGGGCCGGTCCCGTGGCGGAGCAGTTAAGTTCGCACTTTCTGCTTCAGCGGCCCAGGGTTTCACAGGGTCAGATCCTGGGCGCAGACATGGCACCACTCCTCATCAGGCCACGCTGAGGCGGCGTCCCACGTAGCACAACCAGAGGCACTCACAACTAGAGTATACAACTATGTACCGGGGGGCTTTGGGGCGAAGAAGAAAAAAGAAAAAGAAGAAGATTGGCAACAGATGTTAGCGCAGGTGCCTATCTTTAAAAAAACAAAACAATACAATGAAGAAACTAACATTTATATTCTACTTTAAACAATAGATACATTTGAAGCATTGTATACCAATCAAATTTATTAAACAGTGTCTTTAAATGTACTAGAGAAGCTTAATACCTAAAAGGAACCCTTCAACAAATCATTTCATAATGATGGTATTTTATTGGTAACATGTTTAGTCATTACTTAAGTTGTTTTGTTTACATTCAACTTTTTTTTTTTAAAGATTTTATTTTTCCTTTTTCTCCCCAAAGCCCCCCGGTACACAGTTGTGTATTTTTAGTTGTGGGTCCTTCTAGTTGTGGCATGTGGGATGCCGCCTCAGCGTGGCCTGATGAGGAGTGGTGCCATGTCCGCGCCCAGGATCTGACCCTGTGAAACCCTGGGCCGCTGAAGCAGAGGGCACGAACTTAACCGCTCGGCCATGGGGCCGGCCCCCTAACTTTTTTTTTTTTTTTGAGGAAGCCTGGCCCTGAGCTAACATCCGTGCCCATCTTCCTCTACTTTATATGTGGGATGCCTGCCCAGCATGGCTTGATAAGCGGTGTGTAGGTCTACACCCAGGATCTGAAATGGCGAACCCTGGGCCACAGAAGCTGAGCGTGTGAACTTAACTGCTGCGCCACTGGGCCGGCCCTCAACTTTTAGTATATTAAAGTTTTCAGTTATAGGACTGGGCCTAGATCAGGACGCAACTTAGCTGGGATTTCAGAGATCTGGGGCAGTGTTAACTGATCAGATTCTGCTATCTGTGCTGGGCAGCAAGTCTTGTCGACCATCTCTCAAGAGTTCTGGAGAGGGAGTAGTGGAGGGAGGGAAAATCCACTTACCTGATGAAGGATTTTAGAACCCAGATCATCTGTCTGTCACAAGAAGCTCTGATTTATCACTTTGTTAATGACCCTGTTTGAGATGATGCTGATGTCACAGTCCCTGGTTAGAACTCCTTCATTTCTTTGCTAAGCTCCTACTGTGCAGAGCCCAGCCCCACATGCCAGCTGTTACACAAGGAACCTACTCCATAGAACATTGGTAGTACTGCAAAGCCTGTGCCAACTGAGCAAAAAGCAAATATTCCCTGCTCCAGGGACAAAAATGCATCTACTATGCCTCAGAAATGCTAAGCTGACACTTCCACTGACTGAGACATTCTGGTTAGCCTTTCTGAGCAAACTGAACACAGCTCTCATATTCTTGCCTTGTTTAAGTTCTCTGCAGTTACCACCCAAGGATCAAAGGGGAAGGATTTATCTG